AGCCCTCTCCTATCCGCGGTGGATGTTGTGTGTTGGGGGGGGGGGGAGGGGGGAGGAGGGAAGGAGATGCACCGTTTACAAAAATCTATTGCAATGCATATCTTAATAAAAGCCTTGGGGTAGACAGTGAAACGCAAGCACTACCAAAGCAAATAAATTTGACGCAGAGGACGGACAGACAGGTAGCTGAATTGTGCCACGCATGGAAATATAGCCCAGACACAACTCAGCAGCTACGGTTCTGTTAATTAAAAGCTTAACCTTGTTCTAAACGATAGAAAAAGAGAGGGGGTGGAAAGAAAAAAAAAATCTAAAAGGCCTGTAGGGTTGTTGCTGTTCAGTTTAAAAGACTAAACGCCCTTTTCCAACATGATCTACAGAAGCTGACACTTAAATGGCAAGAGAGCAAGCTCGCAGAGCAGGCACGCTGGTGCCGAGGTTTCTGCAGTTCCCTCTCCCGAGGGAAAAATAGTCAGTCCGGGTTTTTTGGGTGATCCTGACCAGGGTTTGCAGCTCGCCAGCCTGACCTGTCAAGCGGATTATTTTAGAGGGAGATTAATAGGGGAGGCGGGCTGCAATAATAATCGTTTTGTTTGATGTGACAACTTTGATAGGCGTTGATTTACTTACAAACTGATAGGCTTTTAATTGAGCGCCTCCATCCAGCTTGAGATGAAAGGAAAACCGCATTGAAAAGCTGCCCGAGTGCCCTCGAGCCTCAATACTGATTAGCCATCTCGACAGTGAATAGTTCAAGGCATTTTCAAACTTTTTTTCCGCTCTCGCTCTCCTCTCCTCCTCAAATATCTGCCAGCCCACTCCTTTTTAAGAGAAAATAAATCATTTCCATTGTGTGCAAATAAAATCGACTTGACATGCTTGCCAATAGCTGGTAGGTAAAGGAAAGTGTGGACTGGCACTTGTTAATTAATTCCTCCTTTGCTCTCCCTTTTTTTAAGTTACAATTTTCCTTTGTAAGAGGAGGAAGACGGGTTCCAACCCTTAGGTTTTTTAGGGGGTTTTGTTTTTTGTCTTTGTTTTTGTTTTTTTTTAAAGGAGAATAAAAGCAACAGCCACCAAAACTTCAACAAGACGACACAAGTAAATGCCAAACAGCAGACCGTCTGCACGGACTCATTAAAAAAGGACCCCTCGCGAAGGTAACGAGCAGGACGGAATCCATCTTCTTCAGCTCAAGAGAGGAAAAGAGCCCGCAGCAGCCAAAACAAAAACTACGCACCGCTTTCAAGCTGCAGCCCCGCCGCCCGCCCGATCCTACGCGTGTGCATCCTAACTCCGAGACCCTCGCTGGGAGCCGTGTTCTGCCGGGGTTAGGCGCAGTGAATGAGCTCTCCTAGCCGAGAAATGCTTTGGAGGGGGCAAAGGGGAGGGGATGTCTCCGGGCTGATTTTTTTACAAGCTTCTACATAAAAAGTTTACAGTACCGAGTGTGATTTAAATCTCATTTCAAAGGCTGAGCGGGGGGGGGGGGGGGGGGGGAAGAAAAAAAGGAAAAAGCTGTCCTCTGAAGTTACTGATTAAATTACCCTCTGATGCTTCTACTTCAGCCAGGAAGATCGGGGTTCGTGCTGTTCCCCCTCTCCTTCCCCCCGATTTTCCCGTCGGTGCGCTGCCTGTTTTACACGTGTACCGGGTATCGCCTTTGCTTTCCCTGGCTTACAAGTAAAACAACCCCTTCCCGAAATCACCCTCACCTCCACAAGAAAAGAGAGAGGGAAGGGAAAATGGGGAGGGGAGAGCCTTCCCACAGCTGACTCTACCTTAAGACAATTAATCTTTAGTCTTTCACCCTGGGAGGCAGGATAAATACAACGAGAAAACAGATAGGAGTCTCCCCGGTCCTGTAAGGAAAACAGCTGTTCCAAGCACTTTAATGCAAATGAACACAAATGAAGGTTTCAGCTTTTTTTTTTTTTTTTCTTCCAGAGTTTTACTGCACTCCATTTATCAATTGGACTTGACAACAAAAGAAAGAACTGGGGGAAAACCTGGGGCAGATTCAAGTCACTTCCACTCTATATAAAGGAAGGGGGGGACTTCCTTGAGGGCAAGTTGTGAGTCTTGTCAGTCCTATTGCAATATCGGGTTTTATGCAAGATTTCTTTCTCTACACCACCACCCCCCCCCGCCTTTTAATTTTCACGGTCTTGTAAGATGAGCGCGATGATTGCAAAATGAAAGTCCATTTATGACTTTCCACTGAAAAGTTGTGGCAATAAGCCCTATGCTTTCAGAGAAAATACAGAAATTAAAAAGTTTGTTAAAATTAATTGTATCTTTATAGAAGCTAGAGGAGTTCCGCATATTTACCCTAGTCTATACACTATATTCAAAGAGTAAAGTGGTTTTAATGAAAGACAGCAGATATACTTACTTGGCTGCAGGATTTAAAGGGTACCGCTTTGGGGGGGGGGGGGGATCTCTGGGAAACCGGCCCAAACTTCAACCTGTACGTCTACCTCGTAAGAAAAGAAGGTCGTTAAAGGCTATCTGACACATCTGTTTAGGGACTGGGGGAGATCGGTGTTTCAAGGGAAGAAAAAGGGCTTGGTTCAGCAGATATAAACGCGAGAAAGTGAAAGTCCTTCCTCTCGCCCACCCCTTCCAGGATCAGCGCCTGTTCTGGTCGGAGTCCAGGTCAGGAATTGGACGCGACCCCTAAAGCACTTGCCTTGTTCTTCACTTGTCAAACGTGTTTTATCTCTAAGTGACCTTTTTGTTAATGTTGTAGATTGTGTGGGCCACCATGTCAGATCCGGAAACAAAAGTAAAAGATTGATTAACACATTTTGCCTGTGAAAAAATGTTATGGGATGAGGAGGTGGGGGGATAGCGGGATGCAAAGTACAAAGGGAAAAGAAAAAGGCAATCCAGGGAGCGACAGAAGGGCTGCGGACTCCTCTCGGGGCATCCGCCGGCACGGTAAAACCGGGGTTGAGGGCAGAGGACTCGGTACGCTTCGGGAGCGCGCGGATACAAAGCGGGACGTATATAGCGCCCGGGTGGATACCGTGTGCATACCCACGAGGTTCTCGACACAGCCTAGCTGAAATCAAACACATAAATGGCGAACCCATACTCTCGCTAAGGCGAGGGGCCGCCTCCCCAGGCCCCCGGGGCCGCCGCCCAGGCCAGCCCGG